TGAAAATGGTGCCAGGATGACACCGAAACGTCGTTGCTCAGTTTTTTCGCTAATCTTTATTGTTAACTGTATTTCCAAATTTAATCTTATAAGAATAATCCAGTTTAACTGGTTTAAAAATCAAGAAACTACTTGTGGGTGTTTTGAACTTCTTCACTTTCTCTTTCTCTTTTTTGAAATATTTGTTTCATGTTTGGATCTGCAAAGTAATTGGTGTATGGACTTTAATACACACTATGAGACCAAAACATTGAACATGTGAGGCTGTAAACTGTAGCTCAATTGGGAATTATTTTTAGTTAATAAGGGTTAATTATGGCAACAGTTTTGCGTTCAAGGGTAGATAAATGTGATTTACAAGGGAAATATTTTTAAAGACAATTTTGGGAATGGGACTTACGCAAATGTATGTATTACAGGATGTAGGTCATCATGGTTTTAAAGACTTGGTATAGGCATAACCAGATCGATGTCCATAAAATAACTCAAGTATTGGATGCATTGCAGACCTTTTTTGCTGGTTGTCAACAGTATAAAATCTTTAACCAACCTTTGTCACCTGTCTATTAGTTCTGGTGCAGTGTTTTCATTGATGATTTATGCCTTAATAGTGCTTGGATGTGACTGCCTATCCACAAAGGGATTTTTTTATACTCAAATTAAACTGAATTCGTTAAAAATAAATGTAGATGTGGTAGAAAAGAGAGTTAAACAGAGTTGAGAAAATACTGGTACAGTGTACTTGTGAGTTTGAAAGTTAAAGGGATTTCAGTCAGTGACATGATAATGAAAAGTGAATCTAGTTCGTATTTAACTGTAACAGTTATTAATGCATGTCTGGAACTGTGCATGGGCATACATGTATTTATAAAATAACTGAGATACTACGCACACTCTCATTGGTCGATAGGTGTGTTAAGATGAGAGTATGAAAACATGGTTGTGACATTTTAGATTCGTATATATTTTTGAGAACATTTTATAAAAGCAATAAGAGAACTTTTTTGTATTTACATAGTCTCATCTAAACACTTAGGGGGCTAGGAGAATTCTTGAAAGTTATGGAAACCCTCAACTGTGTCTCAGGTTTGCATAACTGTCTCAAATTCCCCGAACCCCTCTGGTGTTCAGATGAGGCTACATAAACACGGATAAAGTGCTCCATTGCTTAAATAATTAAAGATAAAACAACTGACTTGAAAATATGTTAAACCGAAATGCACACATTGTATTTTAATGAAACATACTATTAGGAAATTGTTGTGCACAGTGTGAATTTTGCTTCCTTCAACTGAGTTAAAGCAGCCATTGTCCTTATTGTAGGCATGGCTAACTTTAAAGAAGTACTCTTTTCAAATGTTGTCCATATTATACAGTCAGGTGTCTGTACGGAGAGTTTTGAACATCATGCATTAAATGCACTGAACATCCTGCATCAAATATTCAAGGATCCGAAGTAAATTGATTTTATGCCTCAGTAATGTTTTTTTTTTTTTGTAGATGTGCAGTTCTGCAGATTTGTCTGATAGAGGAAAGTATCCTACATTTGCTCGTACATTTGCGGTTGACTCCCAAGTGGGGCCGAGTGTCGTCAGTCTTCTAATATCTACTTACAACTGGACTCGAGTGGCTATTATTTATCAGAATTCTACTCAGTGGAAATCTTTGAAAGAGCATCTGGTGAAGGAATTTGAGAAATATGGTATTGATGTAGCTCATGAGTATATGGTGGATAGTGAGGCACTTTACGACTATTTGCAAAATGAGGCAGAGTTCAGGGCAGCTTTGAGGGAGATAAAAGAAAAGGCACGAAGTAAGTACATACGTCAGTTTTGACAATCAGTACATGTATAGAGAATTTCTGCAGTCTGATCAAATTAAGAGGAGTGTAATAAATTGTTATGAAACCAGGAGAGAAGTGTAAGAGTTTCTCGAGATTCCACTGAGGGGTAACTTGACAGAAGCTGATTGAGTGCTCTCCAAACTGCTCCTGGGAAAGCAGGTCTGCTAAATAATTACTTGACGTCTTGTCAGTTTCCTCTATGGCAATGCCCTGCATGTCAATAGAATTTCTATTGGGGTGCCTTTTGGAAGACAGTGCTATTAAGGAGGTCTATTAACCTGTTGTATGGAAGAAGCTGATAATCAAATCATTATCAATGGTACCTTTGGATAAAATTGTCAATCTCCCTGACCCAGGTTGGCATCCATGTACAATGCAGATGAAAATTTGTATATGTATGCAGATTTAAGTTGCTCACTATTAAGTGTGACTTTCCATTTCACACAGTATTTACATGAGGGGACACAACCCACTGCCTGTTCTAGTCTCCAGGAGGCCAAATTTATACTGAAACTAGCACTCATGTAAATCATTTGCATGATCAGGTGTTGAAAGCACCTTGAAAGTCTGTGAAAAGTACATTGATTTGAGTCCTTGTCTGTTTTAGTTGTTCTAGTGATTGCCAGTTATGACTATGCACTGGAGACACTGTATCTTGCCAAAGGAGAAGGAATGATCAATGGAGAATTTGCTTTCATTATATTCCAGTTGAACCAGTTAAAGGTGACCCTGGCTAAAAAACAGAACTTTTGGTGGTTTTATCATACCCTTCTTGGTCTTCAAAGGTTAGTGAGAATCTGTCAGTGTTACATTACAGTGCAGCTCAGATATATGCGAACTACGCATACGCGTATTATACGAGCGTATTTTGCGTATACGCGTATGTTAATACGCGCACATATACGCGTA